TTATCGATTATTTTACTGATCGATTAAGAATAAGAATTTTTTCCTTTTTTTTTCGATGATCAATTTAATCAACCATTAATATTTGTGTCATTAAAATATCAATTCATTGTCACTTTTCTGATTACAATAAAATATTTCAAATTTTTGAAAGGCAAAAAAAAAAAAACAAAAAATCAAAAATGGAAATTTAAAAAAAAAAAAAAACCAAAAAAATAATAAACAAACCATGCGGGATAATAATGCTTGTTCCATTGATATCATCTCGAATCGTATATTGACCTGTTTTTTTGTTGTAAAATAATTCTCGATGAATAGGTCGAAGGTCACGAAATGATTTGAAACGATTTTTATAAAAAATCCTAATTGGAATCGGAAATAATTTTGCTTCACTCATCTCATCTATATTTTGTTTTTGTTGTTGTTGTTGATGTTGTTGTTGTTGTTGATGTTGTTGTTGTTGATGTTGTTGTTGATGTTGTTGTTGATGTTGTTGATGTTGTTGTTGTTGTTGATGTTGTTGTTGATGTTGCTGTTGTTGTTGATGTTGTTGTTGTTGTTGTTGTTGATGATGTTGTTGTTGTTGATGTTGTTGATGTTGTTGCTGTTGTTGTTGTTGATGTTGTTGTTGTTGTTGATTTGTTTGTGGTAGAAGAATAATTTGGTCATAAATTGGCTCAGTAAACAAATGCGCATCTGTCTTCCAAGTATAATCCGAAAATGTTGCCGTATGAGGGAAAAAATATTGTCCAATTGTTATTTGACGTTTACTAGCTGTAATTTAAAATTGTTAAAATTAATTTTTTAAATTTGCTAAAAATTAATTTTTTAAATTTGCTAAAAATTAATTTTTTAAATTTTGTTATATTTGCAAAAAAAATTTGAGAAAAAAAGAATAAAAAATTTGGTAATTAAAATTGCAATTGCACCTAATAATACTTTTAATCAAAATTTTATTTTTATCAATTTTTAAAATTTTTAAATTACTCAAAAAAAAAATTAAACAAATCCATTCAAAAATGTATAAAATATAATTTCAATTATTGAAAAAGGGAAAAAAAAAACAAAACAAAAAAGATTTATTTTATTTAAACGAACCTTCCAGAACATTGTTGGCAATAATAATAATAAATATAACAAATATGGAAAATTTAATTTGTTCATAAATTTGAGAATTTGAAAACATTGAAAATTTCTGAAAGAAAAAAAAAAAACTGATCTGAAGTAAAAAAGTTTGTTTTTTTTTGATGATAAGAGATTGAGTTATGATTGATATCATTCTCGAAATTTAAAATAATTTCTAACAGTTATGCTCAAGATTTATTCAATTGATTTATCATAAGCATATGTGAAAGGGATTTTAATAAAAATTATCATTTAAATAAAAAATTGTTTGCATTGATTAAAAAATTATTAATAAATATTATATTAATATTAATAAATATTACATTTAATAAAAATTATCATATCAAAATCGTTGTATTAATCAAATTTTATCTTACAAATTTAATAACATTTAATTAAAATTATAATATCAAAATCGCTTATCATATCAAACTTTATCTTACAAATTTAACAACATTTAATTAAAATTATCATATTAAAATCCTAATATTCAATAAGTAATAATAATAAACTTATATTTTCAACAAAAAGAAATTAATTTAATTTGTGCACTTAAAAATTTTTAATTATTCCTTGTTGGATTAGTTTTAATGATAAGATGATAACATGGAATATCAATTGCAAAATAAATATTTTTATAAGTTAAAATTATAATTAATATAATAATTATCATAAGAATTTTACTTCGTTGAAATTTTTAAATTTAAAAAATTAATAATAAATATTATAAAAATTAAAAAAAAACTCTAAAATTCACGGAATAATTTGAATAGAAAAGTGTTAAAATTTAGAAATTATAATTTGAAATGTTATTAATAGATTGGAAGAATTTCGAAGAAAATTAATAAATTTACATTTTAGTAGCAAAATCATTTTAATTAATTAATTGAAAAATATAATTCTTTTTTTTTGATTATCTTAAATATTTATAAAAAAATTTTTAACTATAAACATTTTTTTGTTTCCTTAAATTTATATTAAAATTAATTATTTTAATTGATGAATTTCAAATTCTATCAGGAATAATTCATATTTTAGAAATGAAATGAAATAATGAATTAATTGTAATCATTAATCTAATACTTAATTTTGATGAAATGATAATAAATATTACTTTTAAATGATAATTAATATTAAAATTAATTATTTTAATTGATGAATTTCAAATTCATTCAGGAATAATTCATATTCTAGAAATGAAATGGAATAATGAATTAATTGTAATCATTAATCAAATACTTAATTTTGATAAAATGATAATAAATATTACTTTTAAATGATAATTAATATTAAAATTAATTATTTTAACTAACAAATTTCAAATTCTTTCAGGAATAATTCATATTCTAGAAATGAAATGAAATAATGAATTAATTGTAATCATTAATCTAATACTTAATTTTAAAATGATGATAATAAATATTACTTTTAAATGATAATTAATATTTATTTAAGTAAAAAAAAAAAGTTTTTTTTTTAAAAATTTGTTTGGAAACCTGTTTTTAATGTAATTTATAATATGCATACGAGATAATAATAATTATTTAAACGAACTAAAAACTATTTTAGTAAAAAAAAAATTTTTAAAATTAACAGGTTCTAATCACTTTTAAATGTCATCAAAATTCTCTTAAATAATTAATTATTCCATAATATTTCCCGAGATTTACCGTATTTTTTTTTTTTTTTTGATATGATGCATCTATTTTTATAATACATTTCATTTTATTTTTAATTTTATTTATTATTAATTTTATTTTTATTATTGTTAAATTTTATTTCAACTACTTAATTGTGATAATTATATTTGAAGGAAAAAAAAAATTATTGTATCTCTTAAACTGTAATAATTGTAATATAATTATTATAATTTAAAGTTATCACACTTAAAACTACAATAATTATAATAATAAACAAACTATAATATTAATAATAATAATAATAATAAAGCAAATTAATAAATAAATTTGTTTATTTAAATAGTTTGAATATTTTATTGCAATTTATTGTTAAGTAATAAATTTGTAAGATAAAATTTGATTAATAAAACGATTTTGGTATGATAAACGATAATCAAACAATTTTTATTGTATTATCTTTTTTTCTTTCCCTAATTATCACAAATTTTTTCATCTTGTCAGCTTATCACTAAATAATCATAACTGTTATCAAACAAGATCATGATCTGATAATCAATAATCAAGCCATTTTCATTATATTATCTTTTTTTTCCTTCCTTAATTATCACAAATTTTTTTCATCTTATCAACTTATCACAAGTAATTATAAACACAAGTAAAATTAGATGAATAATGTTTCATCTTATCAACTTATCACTAAATAATCATAATTGTTATCAAACAAGATCATTAACGGATAACTGATAATTAAGCAATTTTCAATATGTTATCTTTTTTTCCTTCCCTAATCATCACAACAATTTTTTCATCTTATCAGCTTATCACAAGCAATCATAAACACGAGTAAAATTAGATGAATCTTATCTAACTTATCACTAACTAATCATAATTGTTATCAAACAAGATCATGATCTGATAATCGATAATCAAACAATCTTCGTTATATTATCTTTTTTTCTTCTCTAATTTATCACAAAAATTTTTTCATCTTATCAACTTATCACAAGTAATCATAAACACGACTAAAATTAGATGAATAATATTTCATCTTATCAACTTATCACTAAATAATCATAATTGTTATCAAACAAGATCAGTATCTGATAAGAAATAATGAAAAAAAAAGAAACAACTACAATATATGTTATAAGGTAATTAATTTAAATTAAGAATAAAATTAAATGAACAAATATTGATAAACTAAAAGTATTATAAAACATATATACAAAGTAGGAAAAAAAAAACGAACAAAGTAATTAAATAATTAATAATTAAAAATTTTAATATGAAAAATAAAATAATAGTAAAAATTGAAAAGATTTCATTAACGATTAAAAAATGATTGAAATTAAAATGATCAAAAAATTTTTTTAATATCTATCAAAAATTTTATGGTTCACTTATGATTTTTGTTACGGAATAAAATGTTAAATTCATTTCGTTCCTTTCATATTTTAATTCAATCATTTTATTTTGAATTATTATATTTGAAAAAAAAAAGAAGAAAAGAAAGAAAAGGCCTATATTTATATATAAATATTTAAAAAAAAAAAAACTGAAATTAAGAATCTTTTTTCTTTTCTTCTCTCTCTCTCTCCCTCCCTCCCTCTCTCTCTCTGTCTTTCCTCGTATTTTCCCTTTCTTTTCGTTTTTTTTTTTTTTTTTTTAAAAAAAAAGAAATAATTTTTGTTAAAAGAAAAATTTTAATTTCGCTGAATTTAAAACGATTATTAGAAGAAAAAATCGATTAAAAATGAATAAATTTCTTTCATTTTCTATTAAAAAGGAAAAATAAAATAAAATAAATTTTAATCGATTAAAAAATAAATAAAATACTTTAATTTTTTTTAAAATGAATAAAAAAAAAAATAAAATGAATTTTAGCAAAAAAAAATTTTAATTATAAAACATAAATTTCTAAACGTTAATTATAAATATAATAAAAAAAGAAATTAAATTATTTATAATTACAATTTTTTATTAAACGAAAGAAGTGAAAAAAGAAAGAGAGAAAGAGAGAGAGAGAGAGAAAGAGAAAAAAAGAAAATTTTTAATGATAAAATTAAAATTAAATGAAATAATTGTAGAACAAAAAAAAAAATTTTATAATTAATTACTCATATTTATAAAATATAATTTATATTTTTTAATGTAAAATTTTCTCAAAAAAAAAAAAAAAAGTAAGGAATAAAAATAATTTTTCGTTTACAAATTTATTTCGTTTACAAATAAATATTTTTACAATTTTGATTTTTTCTTTTTTTTTTTAAATTTCTTTTTCTCACTGTTACAATTCTCGATGTCACAATTCTCGACTTTCTCACTGTCACAATTCTCGATGTCACAATTCTCGACTTTCTCACTGTCACAATTCTCGATGTCACAATTCTCGACTTTCTCACTGTCACAATTCTCGATGTCACAATTCTCGACTTTCTTACTGTCACAATTCTCGATGTCACAATTCTCGATTTTCTCACTATCAAAATTCCCGATGTCACAATTCTCGACTTTCTCACTGTCACAATTCTCGATGTCACAATTCTCGACTTTCTCACTGTCACAATTCTCGATGTCACAATTCTCGACTTTCTTACTGTCACAATTCTCGATGTCACAATTCTCGATTTTCTCACTATCAAAATTCCCGATGTCACAATTCTCGACTTTCTCACTGTCACAATTCTCGATGTCACAATTCTCGATTTTCTCACTGTCACAATTCTCGATGTCACAATTCTCGACCTTCTCACTGTCACAATTCTCGATTTTCTCACTGTCACAATTCTCGATTTTCTCACTGTCACAATCCTCGATGTTACAATATTTTTTTTTTTTGTTTTTGTTGTCAAAACTATTAGCAATTGTTTGATGACACTGTGACATCATTTCATGTAAATGAAATGAACTTCTATCATATTTCAAACACAAGGACAATTTTTTTTTTTTTTTTTTAAAATAATTTTTATGCTTTGTTAAATTTTTATTTTTTTTTTATTTAAACAGTTATACCTTTTCTTTTCTTTTCTTTTTTTCCCACTTCTTTTCATTTTACTATCAATTAATTTTGTGACAAATTTTTATTTTGAAAAAAAAAAATTTTTTTTCTTATTTTCAATGAAATATTTTTGACTATTTGTTAAATGAACCATAAAATTTTATCATAAATAAAAATGCTTTAAAAGAATTTTATTTTTCTATTTTTTTTTTTGTGCTAAAAATGAATTATTTTAGTGATAAATTTATTTTAAGAAATTTTAATTTCATTTTTTCTTTTCGTTTTTTTTTTGAAATAACATATATTGTTATGATTAGTTTGTAAAAATTGGTGATAAATTTAGAAAAAATGATTTAATTTTTATTTTTGAATAATTTTTTTTTTGAAATATTATATATTTGAAGTATTTGAAGGTAATTATTTTAGAAAAACAATTTAAATTTTATTTTTAAATAGTTTTTTTTTGAAATATTATATGTTATCATTTATTTTTAATGCTAATTAATTTAGAAAAACGATTTAATTTTTATTTTTGAATTTATTTATTATTATTTTTTTTTTTTGAAATATTATATATTTGAAGTATTTGAAGCTAATTATTTTAGAAAAACAATTTGAATTTTATTTTTAAATAATTTTTTTTTTTCTGAAATACTATATGGTATCTTTTATTTTTTAATACTAATTATTTTACAAAAAACATTTTTAACTTTATTTTTTGAATAATTTTTTTTTGAAATACTATGTGTTAACTTATATTTTTAAAGCTAATTATTTTAGAAAAAACGATTTAATTTTTATTTTTGAATAGCTTTTTTTTTTTTGAAATATTATATATTTGAAGTATTTGAAGCTAATTATTTTACAAAAAACATTTTTAACTTTAATTTTTGAATAATTTTTTTTGAAATATTTTATGTTTAAGAATTAATTTTTGCTAGAATTTATCAATCAGAGACTAATTCAATAATAATTTATTATTAAAGCAAAGATCATACCTTACTTTTCTTTTTTTCTTGCTTCAATGAAATTTATAAATATAAATTGTTGTAAAACATTGTTAGCATAAGTAATAACAAAAGAAAATGATCAAACTTCATAGATATTTATTTGATAAAAGCAAAAAAAAAAATTTAGCTTATAAAAGCTTAGCTTTAAAATTTCAAATTTCAAATTTCTCCAACTAACAACAAAAATGTATCTAATATCATTGCTTTGCTATTTTCTATTCTTTAGTTGTAAGTTGTAAAATTTTATTTTAATTTTTTTTGTGTAAAAGTTTTTGTCTTATTTATTGGTGCAGATAAATTGTTTAACTGTAAGTAAAAATTGAAAAAAAAAATTAAATAATTTACTGAAGTGAATTATCTAATCAATGAAATATTACCTTTGAAAAAGGTTTTTAAGTTGTAAAATTTTATTTTAATTTTTTTTTTGTGTAAAAATTTTTGTTTTATTTATTGTTTTATTTATTGGTGCAAATAAATTGTTTAACTGTAAGTAGAAATTGAAAAAAAAATTGAATAATTTACTAAAGTAGATTACTTTAATTAATAAAATATTACCCTTGAAGAAGGTAAACTTAAATTTTAATGAAATGATTTTTTTTTTTAATAAATAAAATTAATTATTATTATAGTATGTCAAATTATTAATTCAACGTTATCAACGTGTCCGACTGGTTTCAGTTTTTATGAAAAAACTCAAAAATGCTTTATGGTAAATTTTTCGTCAAATTTTACGAATTGTACTGCTTGTTTACACTATAAATTAATTTATCTATATGTTTAGATTTTTTTTCTTCTAAAAAAAAAGAGAAAGAAAATTGGGTAAATATAAATATTTTTGTAATTTTATTTGTCAATTAATTTCAATTTAGTTGATAAATCATAAATATTTGATAAATGGTGATAAATTATAAATATTTTGTGGTTTTATTTATCAGTTAATTTCAATTTAAGTGGTAAATCATAATTATTTTGTAATTTCATTTATTAATTATTTATCAATTAGTTTCAATTCAGGTGACAAATCATAGTTATTTTTTAATTTTATTTATCAGTTAATTTCAATTCAGATGATAAATCATAATTAATTTTTAATTTTATTTATCAGTTAATTTCAGTTAAGTGATAAAAAAATTTCGGTGATAAATTATAATTATTTTTTAATTTTATTTATCAATCAATTTCAATTTTAGGTGATAAATCATAATTATTTTGTAATTTTATTTATCAGTAAGCTTTCATTTAGGTGATAAATCACAATTGTTTTGCAATTTTATTTATCAGTTAATTTCAGTTTACTGATAAAAAGTGACAAATCATAATTTTTTTTAATTTTATTTATCAATCAATTTCAATTTTAGGTGATAAAATGGTCAGATAAGCCAATGAGTCAAATAAATGCGCGTTTGTCGTGCGCAAGCAAAAATGCTTTTCTAGCATCTATTGAATCTGCTGAAGAAAATGAGCATATCAGAAGTATTTCAACTTTTTTATAAGAAATTTTTTTTTTTACTAAAATTAAACTTTTATGAATTTTTCTAACTTTAATTCAAATTAATTACAGGTTTAAAGAAACATTTAATTAAAAATTTAACAAAATAAGTGATTTATGAACTAATTTAAAAAGTTTGAATTATTTAAAAAGTTTAAAGAAGCAATTTACGAGATTAACAGTGAAAAAAAAATCAACAATAATAATAAATATTAATAAATAATAAATAAAAATTAAAAGAAATTTAAATAGGAATCTAAAAATAAGATATAAACAATTTACAATATTAATTACAATTATTAAATTAAACAAAAAATGAAACAATTTGCAATATTAATTACAATTATTAAATTAGACAAAAATTAAAACAATTTACAATATTAATTACAATTATTAAATTAAACAGAAAATAAAACAATTGATTACAATTATATTAAATTAAAACAATTTACGATATTAATATTTTACACTTATTTTAAGTTTTAATTTTTTGAAATTTTACAAAAAAAAAAAAAAAATGAAAAAAAAAATTTTTAAAGGTTTATTATTGGATGAAAATGTGGAAAGTGCATATATCGGTTTACAATCAGTTCCGTACGATGTAACACAACGATATTTCTGTACCGGTGAAACGATCGATTATACAAATTGGTTATCCGGAAAACCGGATAATAAAAATATAAAAGATAATGGTTGTGTTATATTAAATGCTAAAAATGGCAAATGGATTGATTACAGTTGTGATGCTAATGATGAATTAGGACCTTGGGCAACTATTTGCCAAATTAAAGATACCCGGGAAGAATATGATGAGTTAAAATGCCCTAAAGGATTTGAATATTGTTCAAATACAAAAAATTGTTATAAGGTTTGTTAGAAAATTTCATTAATTTTTTAATATAAATATAAATTTAACTCAATTTTTTTTTCATTATTTTATAATAAAAAAAAGAAGAAAAAAATGTTATAAATTTTTATTACTTTTAAAGTAAGTTTTACTTTTCTTTTTGAAGTTTTAAAAGTAAGTTTTATTATTTAATAAAATTAAATCTTTTCTTCAAAAATTATTTTGCTATTTTTATAGCAAATTATTACTTTATTTTTTATATATAAATAATAATTCTAATACTTGGTATTATAGGTAATAATTGCATTACTTATTTTTATAAGTAATAATTCCATTACTTATTTTTATAAGTAATAACTCCATTACTTATTTTTCTAGGTAATAATTGCATTACTTATTTTTATAAGTAATAATTCCATTACTTATTTTTCACATATAAGTAATAATTGCATTACTTATTTTTATAAGTAATAATTCCATTACTTATTTTTATAAGTAATAATTCCATTACTTATTTTTCTAGGTAATAATTGCATTACTTATTTTTATAAGTAATAATTCCATTGCTTATTTCTCTAGGTAACAATTGCATTACTTATTTTTATAAGTAATAATTCCATTACTTATTTTTCACATGTAAGTAATAATTCCATTACTTATTTTTATAACTAATAATTCCATTACTTATTTTTCACATATAAGTAATAATTGCATTACTTATTTTTATAGGTAATAATTCCATTACTTATTTTTATGGGTAATAATTCCATTACCTATTTTTCTAAGTAATAATTCCATTACTTATTTTTATAAGTAATAATTCCATTACTTATTTTTTACATATAAGTAATAATTGCATCACTTATTTTTATAAATAATAATTCCATTACTTATTTTTCACATATAAGTAATAATTGCATTACTTATTTTTATAGGTAATAATTCCATTACTTATTTTTATAAGTAATAATTCCAATTACTTATTTTTATAGGTAATAATAAAGGAAAAAGGAATGAATCAAACAGAGGCGCAAAATGAATGTAAAACTTATAATGCGCATCTTGTAAGCATTGATTCGGAAGAGGAAAATCAATTTGTTTCTGGTATTTTTTATAATTTAACTTTATTAAAACAATAAAATTTCAAAAATTAATTTATAATAATTCTATAGAAAATAAACAAAAAAAAAAAAGAAAATTTTATTAAAAAAAAATATGAAAATGATCTCAAATATTCAAATTATTTTTTAATTTTAAGTATTTCTATAACATTTATATTACTCTTTCTACATTTAATTTAATATAATCTTTGATTAATTCATTACTTATTCAATGCTAATTTAGTTCAATTAATTATATTTAATTAATAAATTTAATTTCGAATTTATACACTTTACAAGTTTTGTATTATATTTTATAATAAATATTTAAAAAATAATTTCTTTCCCTTCTTCCCTCTTTTCATCATTTTAAAATATTATTTATTAATTTTTCATACAAAATTATAATATTATATTTTTTCATTTTATTATATTTATTCTT